CCCCAAAACCCCAAAACCCCAAAACCCCAATTTCTTCTATCCAATTGAATCATTAAGAATTTTTTAATTTAAATGGAAGACTCCTACTGACAGAACTTAAAGCTACAGAGTAAGGCTTTTGAAAATTTATACTTTTCTTCAATAAACCCGACTTAATTATCTTCTGTTTAGGCAGAAATCACTGGAAATCAGTGGATATGATTCACAGAGGAAAGACTGCCCAACGAAGCCCTCAAGAGAGCTATAAAGAAGCAGAAGAGCTTCTTAATAAGCTTCATAAAGTTAAGGCTCGAGCCACCTCATTTTTGAAAAGAGAAAGAAGCTCTTCAGTCATCCAGAATTTGGGTAACGACAAAGTATATGCAGATTTAAGGAAATAAATTGAGAGACATAAAAGAGAGAAAATTTGGGTTAAAAGGAAGACAAATTCATAGTAATTCCTCTATCTAACGTCTGTTTAGACGCTTCCCAGAACATTGGTACAACGGCAAATGTGTATTTTAAGCCAAAGAATATGAAAATGATTCCTTGAAAGAATGCTGTGAGTAACTTGATCAAATCCAGAAAGGCAAATTTCCTAAAATATCGTGACAAAAGGTACATTTCTCCTCAAAAACATTTAGTGAGACCTCGATTGAAAGAAGTCTTTACAAGGGTGAAATTGTAGATAAGCTCCAGAAATATCTGGAGAAGAACAAAAGCTCTGAAATTTTAAATCAGCCTAAAAGAAGGTAAAAAAAGTGTTATATTTATAGGAACCTGAGAAACCTTCATCATCGGACTTCTCATCATGTAGTGTACAGTCCCCTTGCTTATCTCATAGATTGAAAGAGAATACTTCCAAGGAAAGGAAGGTAAGGATAAAGACCCCTGTAAAGGATGACATTATCAAGATTGAAGAGAAAATGAAGCACAAGATCAAAGAGGATCCTATTCTCAAGGACCTCTCAATTAAATTTATGAAACAAAAATAAAAGTTTAATGAATGCTTTGAAAACTTATCAAAAAGTAAGACCTCTCTAAAATTTGTAGAAGAGAGTAACCAGAGATAACACTCCTCTCCAGTTCTTGCTTAATCGTAAGAAGAAAGAGGATATTAGAAGAGTCATGGAGCATGTCAGAGGAAGTCGCTCAATGAGAGAAAGTAAAGTTCATAGTCCAAGAGAATAAGAACCATTTATATATTTTTCAAGACAAGTTTGGATAACAGGGGTTTTGGGGTTTTGGGGTTTTGGGGTTTTGGGG